TCTGCTAAATTTGTCAATAATATTTAAATTTGAAATAATGAATGTTGGAATTCTTTGTACATGTTACAACAAAATAAAAATGGCTAGACATATACATATTCGAAATTCGTTAAAACAAAAAATCGGTTCCACAAAAATTTTAATTTTTTTTTACAAAAATGACTCGAGATGATGATAAATCAAATCATGCAAAACGTGATTTAGAGACTCAAAATGTTGATACTTTTGTTGATAGAGAGCCAGACTCTAAAAAAATTCGCCTTCAAGAAAGCAAAAATAGTAATAATTCAAGTGATCTTTATTTGGATACTGTAGGTTTTTTGTTATATATCTATTTTTCAAGGATTCTTTTAATTAATTATTTGTTTATTAGATAAATCGACACATGTTAGATTTTGATTTTGAAAAAGTATGTTCAGTTTCTTTGTCAAATCTAAATGTTTATGCCTGTTTAGTATGTGGCAAATATTTTCAAGGTAATGTAATATAATTGAAAAACATAAATATTAAAGCAACTGCATTGCTTAAAATAACTGTATAAATATTTTATTTAGGACGAGGTCGTAATTCACATGCTTATTTCCATAGTTTACATGAAGATCATCATGTTTTTATTAATTTACATACTCTAAAAGTTAGTATTAAATTTTATATACATGGGTAGAAATTTTTTTTTGTAAATTAATGATTATTTAACATATATATAGGTATATGTATTACCTGATGGATATGAAGTCAAAGATTCATCACTAGATGATATTAAGGTATCTATATTTTTAAAAAAATATGTTTTTATTAAATGATAATAATAACAATTAATGTGGTTGGTTCATTTCAAATTCTTTTCTTTTTTTATATGCTAATTAGTTTTTTATTATTATTACAATGTACGAGGTTAGTATGTTTTATATCCGACGTTTACAAAAGAACAAGTTGCACAATTGGATCAAAATATTAAACATTCATATGATTTAAATAATAAAAAATATTTACCTGGTAATTAATTATCAATTATAAGCATTATTGAGGGGAATTATATATTTACTTTATATCGAAAAAAAAAATTATAGGTTTTGTTGGGTTGAATAATGTAAAAGCTAATGACTATGTTAATGTAATAATACAAGCATTAGCACATATTCCCCCACTTAGAGATTACTTTATGTTGCAAAACTTTGAAAATAAATCTCAATTAGGTAATTATTCACTTTTTTAATTTACTTACATGCAAAAACCTTTTTATAATCTTTCCACTCATTTGTATATTATTAGTTCAAAGATTTAGTACACTTGTTAAAAAAATATGGAATCCAAGAGCATTTAAAGGACAAGTTAGTCCTCATGAACTATTACAAGAAATATCAAATGCAAGTAATAAACGATTCAAACTTGCAGAACAAACAGATCCTCTTGATTTTCTATCTTGGTTTCTTAATACATTACATAAAGACTTATGTGGTACCAAGAAATCAGATTCAAGTATAATATATAAAATCTTTCAAGGAGAAGTAAAGGTAGAATCTCAATTCATAATTACAAAAGATAATACTGATGAAAAGAATCGTCAATTGTTTGATGTTGATAGAGGTGAAACTCCATTACTTATATATTAATTATTATTATTTGTTAAAATTTATATTAAAATTTTTTTTTCAATTATAAAAAAAAGAAATATCTTTAAAAAGGACACGATTTTTGTTTTTAACATTGGATTTACCACCACCACCTTTATTTCAGGATGAAGTCGAGAAAAATATCATTCCTCAAGTAAATAATTGATTTATATTTATTATATAGAGAGTGTATTCAATAATATAATATATATATTTTAGGTTGCATTATCAACAGTGCTTCAAAAATATGACGGTAGAACAACTCTGGTTAATTTCAATTTTCAAATTAATTTTAATGAATTTATAATTTCACATGCATGTATGCAGCATTTACTTATACTTAAAAAAAAATCATATATATAACAACAGGAATCAGCAGGTGCTTTAAAAAGATTTCAATTGATTAGTTTGCCTAATTACTTAATTTTCCATATTAAACGTTTCACAAAAAATAATTGGGATCTTGAGAAAAATCCCACAATTGTAAACTTCCCTATTAAAAACATTGATATGAAAGATTGTAAGTATGCATTCCATTATTGAAAACTATTCCTTGTCATTCATTGATTATTTTATGCCTTTAATCAATTAATTATCTATTTGTTTATTTTTAGTTCTTGAAAATCCAGAATCAGAAATGTTAGACACACATTATGATTTAATAGCAAATATATGCCATGAAGGCAAAGCAGGTAAAAGTAATGGGATTTATAAAGTACATGTTCAACATCGTGGTAAAGAACAATGGTATCAAATTCAAGATTTGATTGTGGAAGAGATTAATGCACAAATGATCTTTTTATCTGAAAGTTATATTCAGGTATTTTTTTGATTTTAATCTTCGTATATGATATTGGTGTTCCTTTTTTTGTATCAATGATTTTTTTAATAATTATATATATCTGTGTGTGTGTAGATTTGGGAAAGAAAAATCCAAAATCTTTAAATTTAGAATAGATTGTAATATACTGTGTCGTTTTTTATTCTATATATAAATAATATAGAAAAAAATAATTAATCACAGTTGAACCTCGTTATTACAAGTCACTTTACTAAACTTTTTATTGGCTGTATATATCCCTTAAATTCTTCCAAAACCACGATTTCATTTTTGTTGTTACGTATGTCACGTTACCATGGAAATTAAAAATTGGTGTTACATCCAATTTTTTATATTTTTTTTTACGGTTGCAATCAATCATTAGTATTGGTATTAGTATTAGTATTTACGGTCTGGCCCAAAGACATCCAGTCTAATTAAATGATAGGATCGCAGCCCAGACTCTAGATAGGGTTTCTATTCGAATAAGGTTTATTATTTGTTTTATTTGTTACGAATGAGTATTCGAATTAAATTACGGCTTATGACAACTTTGGGGTGTCATGACAAATTTATTTACACAATGCCGAAATGTACACAAATCATAAATATTAATATACTTTGTGTTTATATAAACTTGCGGCTAAAAATAAAACAAAAAAATTAATTTTTAAAGATGGAGAACACTTTAGATAAAAATAAACATCATGATGATACTTCTACTGACAAAAATGATGATGATGAATATTCAAAGAAAAGAAAAGAATATTATGGAGAATGTTCAACTTGTAATAGATATAATACTTCATATTCATGGTGTCAGTCGTGTGATCCAAAGCTATTAACTGAAGAATGGACTAGTGGCAATGAAACATTAAACGAGTTGATTAAAAGTACACAACTTAAAGAAACAAGTTGTTTTGATCGTTATTATCTTCAATGGATTCCTTATGATGATTTAACAAATATTGAAAAGATAGGTGAAGGTGGTTTTGCAACTATATCCAAAGCTACTTGGTTAAATGGTGAGAAAAATGCTTTTCAGAATAGAAGTAGTTATGATAGGACTGTGGCATTAAAAAAACTACATAATTCACAAAATATTCTGATGAATTTCTTAATGAGGTAAATTATCTTGTTTTTCTATTTATTTTCTGATTTTTAAATGTTGTTCTGAAATTCAATATATTTTTTTTATATAGTTTAGAAATTATGTTACATTTTATGGTAAATCATTTATAAATAAAATTTATGGATTAACACAAGACCCGGCTACAAATGAATATATATTTGTAATGGAATACATGAAAGATAAAAGTCTTCAAGATTATGAAGATCCATATATTAGAAAAGAAGAATATGGGGAATGTCCAACCTGTAATAGATATAATACTCGGTATTCATGGTGTCAATCATGTAATCCAAAGTTGTTAACTGAAGGATGGACTAGTGGCAATGAAACATTAGATGAGTTGATCAAAAGTACACAACTTAAAGCAATAGGGTATAACAATAAATATTACCTTCAATGGATTCCTTATAATGATTTAACAAATATTAAAAAAATAGGTGAAGGTGGGTTTGCAATTATATCCAAAGCTACTTGGTTAAATGGTAATAAATATATAAATAATGAAGATTATAAAAGAACTTGTGAAGACATGACTGTGGCATTAAAAAAACTATATGATTCACAGAATATTTCTGATGAATTTCTTAATGAGGTAAATTATTTTTATTTTTCTATTTATTTTCAGATTTTTTAGATATTATCAATTATTATTGTTGTAATTAAATATTTTATTTATTATTTAGTTCAAAAATTATATAAACTTTCATGATGAAAGTAATATAATTCATATTTATGGATTAACACAAGATCCAATTACCAAAGAATATATATTTGTAATGGAATATATAGAAGGTGGAAGTCTTCAAAATTATTTAAGTAAAGATTTTAAAAATTTAAAATGGAAGCAGAAAATTGATATTCTTGAACAAATTATTAGAGGTTTAAAAAATATTCATGAAAAAGAAATTATTCATCATGATCTTCATAGTGGTAATATTCTTCAAAGTAACAAATTGTATTCATATATTGCAGACTTAGGATTATCATGCACACCTAGTCAAACATCATCATCAAACAAAAATGATATATGTGGAGTACTACCATATATTGCACCAGAAGTTTTAAAAAAGAAACCATATACA